AGAAGAGATGCTTATTTCTAAAAAAATGAACATAAAGTTCCATCATACAAACATGTAGGGAAAATTTGATTAAAACATTTCAAAGGATATAAAATAATGTATAGCTATAGATTAAATAGAATATGATAATTTAGTCAGCAACGTGTTATGTAAGGCAACATAATGCTTTTGGCAAAATTACTTTTCCTTATGTGCACTGTTCATTTTAATGGTTCTGTGTGTTCTTATAATATGTTCTCATTTCCTTTTTGGGGGGTACCAGGGATTGAACTCAAAGACACTTGACCACTGAGCCACATACCCAGCCTTATTTTGTATTTTATTTAGAGACAGGGCCTCACTGAGTTGTTGGGGCTGACTTCGAATTTGTGATCCTCCTGTCTCAGGCTTTTCCCAAGCCACTGGGATTAGAGGCGTATACCACCACACCCAGCATGTCCTCATTTCTTCTCCTTGAAATATGTGAAACATAAATTTACACACACACACACACACACACACACACACACACACACACACTACAGTATTTCCCTAAAAGTCTACTGTTGGTTTAGTTCTTCTCTTTCAAAGCTAAAGAATGGGGCAAGGCAGACAATTCACTTCAAAAAGTACTGTTTATCTCCACATCAAAGAAAAAAAATCATGTAAGAGCTAGCATATTTTCTATGGAAAAAGCTAACATGTGTTATAAATGTTATAGCTAAATATTCTCATCTTTATTCAAAATACCAGTTTTGTTTAGAAAGATCAGCAGAGTTTACCTACAATCCTGCAAATCATCTCAGCATGCCCTGCTTATTTATCTCTGGCSTGTAGGTATCAACACAATTTTCATATTTTATTTTAAATGATAAAAAAGACAAAACAGAATTAATATCCATACCAAGAACAGAAAGACATGTACTATATGTACAATGTCCCATTTAACTTTATACACACACATCAGATAGCTCTGATTTAGGTTATTAAATTGGTGAGAGATTTCTAAAAGCCTAATTCACTCCTTTCATTTGTCCTCCCCAATTCAGCTGTTGACTATATAAGAACCTATTTCTAAGTAGTTAATTATCTACCTCAAAAAGAAGGCAGGAACTGGGTGCGGTGGTGAACACCTGTAATTGCCTATAATCACAGCTATTCAGGAGGCTGAGGTAGGATTGAAAGTTTGAGGCCAGCCTCAGCAACTTTTTGAGAACCTTAGTAATGAAACCCTGTCTCAAAATTAAAAAAATAAGAAGGGCTGGGGTGTAGCTCAGTGGTAAAAATGCCCCTGGGTTCAATTCCCAGTATAAAAAAAAAAAAAAAAAAAAAAAAAGAGGCAGGCACAACTACTGGACTTTCATACTATTTTATGATCAGAGTAGGAGAAACTAGAGCAGTTATGTGATGGTTGGTATCTTTGACAGCTGACTTTCAAAAACATCCAGTTACTAAATTTGAATCAACCTTGGAAACGTCCTCCACATGACATAAGCAGAGCAACTGCCATCTCTCAGATATTGCRGATTTGTTACAATGGACCCACTGTGTATATTTTATGCCAATAGGTAATTTCCAAATACAGAAAGCAAGTTTTTTCTAGGAAAGGAATTTCACAATCTCTTATAGTTAAATAGGTTTTTAGAGTTTGTGACTCAAGTATTTGTGACCCATGCCACAGGTCAAAGTTCATGATTCCAGACCAGTCRTCATTTCTGAGCAATAATTACTTCTGAGCAAGCTCTATAATGAAGCAAACTTACAACTTGCTCTTTTTTTAATATTTATTTCTTAGTTGTAGTTGAACACAATACCTTTATTTTATTTATTTATTTTTATGTGGTGCTAAGAACTGAACCCAGGGCCTCCCAGGTGCTAGTGTGCACTCTACCGCTGAGCCACAACCCCAGCCCCACAACCTGCCTTTTGCCACTATGCAGGACTTTCTGCACATTAACTCTACCCACTTTAATATTACTATTATAGTCTGTTTTTTCTCTTTATGTCTTCCTTCCATTGCACTATAAATATTTTTGGAAGACATTTCAACTATTCTTTAGACCAAGGCAGTATATAAATTTAGTTAACTAGCCTTTACAAAAACATTTTGAAACATTTAACTGTCATAATTTGAGTTATAGGTTCCATTGTCCCAAATATGCACCTCTATGAATACAGGTTAAATTCATATATTGAATAATATGTTCTAAGTGCCTACTGTGTCAGCACCTGTTCTTGGTCCTGGGGAAATAATGATGAAGAGCCAGATAGTAACTACCATGGAGAAAAATATAGCAGAGAAGGAAAACAGGAATACCATATAATTAAGATACTCAGAGAAGGTCTTATTGAGAAGGTGGCACTCACACATTACATAGATATCTAGGATAAGAACATTCCAGGTATAGGGTATATCAAATACAAAGCTGAGAGCCTATCTCAAAATAAAAAATAAAAAGGTAAATGGATATAGCTCAGTTGTGAAGCAACCCCGGGTTCAATCCCTAGCACACACACAAATAATAATAATTATTATAATTATATTAGGGGACAAAAAAGATTAGAGTTGAACTTTTAAAAGATTACTCTAAAAGCAATTATATTGGAGTAGGGAAAAGTTAATATAGAAGACCAGCAGAGAGATAATGTGAAAGTGCAGGTAAAATTGACAATAGAATAAGGGTGTAGAAGTGAGAACAGAAAGAGAACAAAGAGKTAGTCTGAAAGATATTTAGGAGATAGAAAAGAGAATTTGAGGGGTTAGCTTAGTGGTAGGCACTTGCCTATACTGTGTGGGGCACTGGGTTCAATTCTCAGCAACACATAAACATAAATAAATTAAGGTATTGTGTCCATCTACAACTAAAAAATATTTTTAAAAAGAGAATTTGATGACAGATTAAATTCATGAGGGTTGAGGAAGAAGGTCACAGATGGCTGAAGTTGCCTAATTACATTTCTTAAACYTTGGCATAGGTACTAATATTTTCTATATGGAGAGGTAGCAAACATCAATGTGATTTTTGGTGTGAGTGTATGTGGGGAGGTAGGGGGAAGAACAACAAAAAGTCAATTATGTATGGTTATAAGTCTTTATATCACAACTGCAAATTATCGTACACATAATACTTAATTTGCAAAATATGTGCAATTTGTTCTGTCTCCACCAATGAAAGAAGCTTGGTCATTACTATTCTGCAAAAATGAAGCAATTAGATTCTACATTAAATCTCCTGATCCACATTGCTAACACTATACATTTACATAATTTTTAAACTTGAGAAAATCAATACTCTGTACCTTTATAATATTCTTAAGCAGAGAAGATCAGTACTTTGTACAACATTTTATCCAAGTTTAAGCAACCTCAGGGTACCAAATATAGCACTTCAGTAAAGAAATAAAGAATTCTGCCTCATCACTGAATTGGAAAGTACAACCCTTAGAGGAAGAAGCCATTTCCTATTGTTGAGTAGTACTGCAAAAGTCACCTATTCCTAACCAATGAAATCACTAAGGAGGTAGATATGTTTTTAAAGGAAATGACTGAATAAGTTAACACCAGATCTTAAATAATTAATCTAAAGATAAACTCAGTTACTCAAGAGAAAGAAAAAAACTGCATTTTCTCTTTTAGAGACCATCAAATTCCCAGTCATGCTAACTGTATCCACTATAGTCTCTCTCCAGTTAGTCCTCAAACAATGCTAAACAAAACTGGGAGTTTATTTACCATGAAACCAGAAAGACAAAAGTTTTTTAAACAAATTTAACACAATATTTCCACTAGTAGAGGTTGAACTAACCACATAAATGCTCTAACAGTCTGGGTGTCAGAATAAATAGTATCAAAGCCTATGAGGTTTATCWTTACTATGAAGTTAAAAAGTATTTCAGTTAAACTAAATGTTAAATTGATACTGTTAATTCCTTCATCACAAATAGCTATATGTTGTGAAAAGAGATGCTGGGGCTGGGATTGTGGCTCAGCGGTAGAGCGCTCACCCTGCATGGGCAGGACCCGGATTCGATCCTCAGCACCACATAAAAATAAAGGCATTGTGTTGTGTCCATCTACACTTAAAAAAATAAATATTAAAAAAAATTTTAAAAAAAGAGATGCTGAATATTTTGAGAATTCAAACGTGTAGAAAGGCATTAGTACTATAATTATTCTTTAAGAACTGAAGAACTGCAATTGCAACTCACAGGAAAAATATCATTTTATTTAATAACCAACTATACACACATTCAAACATTCATATAACTAAAACAATATTTACTCTTCCTATGTGGGAGGCATTGTGAAATATTCTACTCTATGTTCTTCATTTTTAAAAAATWCTGGTCACAATTTAGTAAATGGACATTGTAAATCGCTAATATATTACAACTCTTAATTACTTTAGAACACCATCAATGCCAATTTATAATTTAAGGGAAATTTGTAGTCTTCCTCCTTTTCAGAATTAGCCCATAAGTGTATTCTAAGTATTCAGAGGGAGAAAAAAAGTTTAATGTAGCCTAATTTCCACATATCCAGCTTGGACATAATATATGTTTTCAATTTGTGTTTAAATCACCTACCTTCCCAGGCCAAAGARCAGAAAGAATGATTTGCAATCATGTAACACATGTCCCTACATCTGTATTGCACATTTTATTGTCTTTTTTATGTATATTATTTCATTTGAACCTCACAACAACCCTGTGAGGTAGGCAGGGAAAATACCAAGTTCCTTTACAGATAATGAAGATAAGGTCAGTTAAATGACTTTCCCTATTATCATTATAGCTAGTAAGAGGTGGAGGCAGAGATAGAATAAAAACCATCAAATTTCAGGTTGGGGGCTCTTTTCTCTAGAACACATAGAGCATGTAATCTAACCTCATAAATATATGGGAAGCTTTTTGTTTTTGTTTTTGATGCTGGGGATTGAATCCAGGCCTTACTCATGCAAAGCATATACTCTACTAACCTCAAATATTTTTAACATTTAAGTCTCATTTTCATATTCTTGATCCAACTTTTTGTAGGCTACAATAAAAGACCTAATTCCAAACTTATTATGCCAAGTTTATTCTGTTCTACCAAGAAAAACTTATGGCCATAGAACATATTTTTTGGAATACACCATTTTGTTGGCTCTTGTCTAAAGGAACATAAGCAATATGAAAGACCCTAATGGTCAAGGAAACTGAAGTCAGAGGAAGGGATATTTTTTAAAGTATATTAATGGAGTTGGGTCCCTTTCAGCTTTTATTTTTGTGAGAGAGTTCAATGGAGAGCTTTAATGCAGATGACACTTGAAGCTTTTGAAGAGGATCTAAATCTTGATGTRGTTATTCATACTCAACTCTTGAATGCATAATGATGGTATGGTGGGTCATAGTCTTCAAAAACTTGGTACCTGATGCTTGAAAACAAAACACACACACAAAAAATTCTACTAGCAAGTCTAATAATTGTTTTTAAAAAGGGAAGTTAAAAAGTTCTTTGGTCAATAATTAATCAGATCACTAGATATAATGCTGAAAGAATGAAAAGAAAACTATTTTAAAAAGCCATAGTATATAAAATATATTCATTGACTTATCTCTTTGATTAATGTTCTTCACTACAAATTGCAACAGAATTTGAAATTCTTACAGACTCATGTAGAGGCAGTAATAGGATAAAAATGATTTAATAATTWCTTGAATCTCTTTGATCATTATCCAAAGTATAAGACTGTCTTACAGAGCTTTTGATCTCTGAAAGCACAGCCAAAATGCTTGTTGGAAGAGACAGTATAAAATGAAGTTGATTTTGTGGAATAGAGAAAGAAGTTGAAATAGGAATATTATGGTTGGAAAATATTTTTTTGAATGATGAATGAAAGTAACAAATCTTCAAATGGAAAAATTCTGACCACTTTGCAAGGTTCAAATGAAAAACAGCAAAAATATTATAAACACGAGTACAATGTAATCAAAGAACAGTTATAGCTATCTGAAATTCCAACTCAGGAAATAATTACACAGCCTATGTGCTGAGAGGATGCCAGCATCTGTTCAATCCCCATCCCACTTTACTCTTTTTAGAGAGGATTTTTAATTTCATTATCTTAACTTTTTGTTCACTGTAACCTTTTTTAAAAATATGCTCCTATAAACTTGCCTTTTCCCCAAGAAACATTTAAGCTTTTAAAAAGTGTTAATAATATTTGCTGAGTCTACAATCTGTTCTATATACTTTGTGTAGATTAATTCATTTAATCTTCACAATTGCAAGAATTAGTTGTGAATATGGGGATAATAAATGAAGAAACCAAGGCACAGAAAAATTAAGAAATTCAGGTAATTACTTAAGTAATAATAGGGTAACAGAATATAAACATATCTATAATAAATCAGTTTATTGCATTATAAAAGAAACTTTAGGATTTGAAAGGGACCATCAAAATAATCTAGTAGATTGTCCCATACAATGAGAATCCCCACCCCTTATAACATTCTGATGGTCAAACTCTGTTTAAGCAACTCTAAAGACCTAGAGTTCCCTGTCTCTCCACACAATCTGTTCCACTCCTGACCAGTTCTATATCTTCTCCAGGACTAAATTTGGACTCAAATAACAGAACAAATATACTTCCTATGAAGTTTCCCCACTTTTCCAAAGTCTTCTATTTTCTGAAAAAACAGTTCTAGTCCCCTTGATGTAGATTATCACAGCTGTCCCTTCATATAATCACAAAATTAATTTTAAAAGTTCTTTTATTCATCAGGGCAATTTTAGAAATGAAATCAGTTTGTGTATATTAATGTTCTGTGGGTTCACAGGTGTTTAATCTTGGCTCTACACAACTGAATGCTAGGAAAGGCTTATGGACGAAGTTTAAATCAAATTGAAAAGCAATAATTTTTGAATTTTTTTCCCTCTCAAAACAGTTACCATGAAACAGAATCTTAAAGATACCTTATACCTTATCTTATATTTTCATTTTCTTACCCTCAGGCTTTTGTCTGCCTTCCTATTACTTGGACCTTGTGCATGACCTTAAAACTTTCAAAATACTTTAAACTACTCTCAAAATTATGAATTAGCTCACCACAGGCCCAGATCTGAGGCCTCAAAATACTGACTTTTTTTCTTGTTGCATTAACTTTCAATCTGGAATTTCTGGTTTTCCATCAAGTTTTATATATATTAAATATGTAATATAATTATCATATATCAAAGTGTATGCACATACACTCATACAGGCATCTTCCTCAATTTTATGTTCTCCACATGTAACTTATGTGTTCATCTCTTTCTTTTCTATGTCACCTTCACTACAGTCTATCATCTTGATTCAGGAAAACAATATACCCTGGATTCTCAGTCTCTTAACAAGAATAGAATGCCACTCCAAGCATTCTACCCAGCGATTTTTTTCCTTTGTGACCACAGTGATTAGTTCCAAGGATTTTCAGAAACAAAGCATCATTTAACAGAGATGACTATACCCAAAATTCTCGAAAGTATGGTATAAAATATGGACACCTGTAGTCCCATCTCCTCAGTAGGCTAAGACAGGAGAATTGCTTGAGCCCAGGTCTTCAAGACCAGCCTGGGGAATAAAGTAAAACTCCATTAAAAAAATAATAATAATAATATATATATATATATAGATAGATAGATAGATAGATAGATAGATAGTTAGTCTGGGTTGTAGCTCAGTGCTCAGTGGTAGAGCACTGGGTTTGATCCTCAGTACCACATAAAAATAAATAAATAAAATGAAGGTATTTTAAAAAACAAATAATAATATAATAGCCAGGGATGGAGGTATAGCTCAGTGGCAGAGTAAYTGCTTAACATACACAAGGCTCTGGGTTTTATCTCCAGATCCACAAATATAAATAAATACCTGACATATCATAACCTATTCTATTCTGTTCATCATGGCTCATCCCCTAGATTAGTGACCTTCATTATGATTTGAACAAGATAACAAAAATCAGTGGCATCATATAGGTATGAAACCCATTTCAACTGACTTTCGAATAAAATCCCTTTACTAATGAAATGAATATTTTTTATTTTTTATATAGTTCATTTTATCGCCCATTACTGTTATTACAAAATGTCTCACAATAAAGGTTTGTAAGAAAGATGACTAGAGGAGTAAAAGTCACCAGACATTTCTGCTGAGTCCAGGGCAAATAATCAGCCAAATCAAAGAAAAATCAAATGAGATTATGCATGTATATCCAAATTGTCTTTCTGGTTTTACTAACTGAGAACAATCCATTTTTTGGAATCCCTTACCATTCCTAAGCATCAAGAACAAAGTGAACTAATAACTGTAAGACTTGTTTAAACAATTGGGAATCCAGGGGCTGGGGGTATAGCTTAGTAGTAGAGCACCYACCTAGCATGTGCAAGGCCCTGTGTTTAATCCCTAGCCTCTTCCCCAGTAAAAAAAATAGAGAGAGTATGTAAAGAGCAATTCAAATAAAACAAAGTCCATTCCATTCGGCAAAACCGAGAAGCTCAGAAGAACCATGACAAAGCAATACAAAGGTAGCTTGCAAACAACTACCACATCACTTGATGGGGTTAGCGACATGCTATATACTGTACAGGAATATTGAATTCAGCAGCAACTAAGTACTCAGTATTCTGTAAGTTTTCATTAATAGTAAACTCTAATGTCAAGGTTTAAAACCTATTATAATATTACCAAATCTTCCTTGCAGCTTTAAAAAAACCTTAATGCACCATATAATCCTTCTCCTTTTAAACAGTGCAAATACTTATAAGAACAGAAAGTCATAAAGAATAGTAATAGGCTCTCATATTTATTAAATTATCCCAAGGCCTTGCAGCTTGTTTCTGAATCTCATTAAAATAAGAACATGCTCAGAGTAAAGAATTTAATCCACCAGAAAAAAGCATACATTTAAAAAAAGTTAGTCTTCTTCCTATTCTAGACTGCTCATCTCATTTCTCCAGGAATTCTATTTATAATTCCTTATATATACTTGAAGAGATTTTCTATATGCTTTTTTTTTCTTTTGACAGAGTCTTGCTAAGTTGCCCAGGCTGCATCAAACTTGGGATCTTCCTGCCTCAGCCTCCCAAGAAGCTAGAATTACATGCCCRGCTTAAATATATGCTTCTTTAAAACACAAATGAAAGCCAAGTGGGGTGGCAGAACATGCATGTAATCCTACTGATTGGGGAGGTTGAGGCAGGAGGATCACAAGTTTGAGGCTATCCTCAGCCTTACCATAACCCTGTCTCAAAATAAAAATAAACACAAATAGAAACATACTATACATACAGCTTCCATTTATTCATTTATKTATGTATGTATGTATTTATTTATTTATTTATGGTACTAAGGATTGAGCCCAGGGCCTCTTTGCCACTTAGCTACATACTCAGTCCTTTATATTTTCAGACAGGATCTTGATAAGTTGCTGAGGGTCTCAATAAATTGCTGAGGATGGTCTCAAATTTGTAATCCTCCTGTCTCAGCCCCACCCAGCCTATATATATATATATATATTTTTTTTTTTTCTCACTTAACAATGTGTCTTAGAATTTTCCATATCTGCATATCTGGATCCACTTCATTCTTCCTAATAGCTGTAAATTACAATACTACATGAAAGCATTTATTTAACCAGACATCTGTTGAAGCATGTCTATATTATTTCTAGTTTTATTTTGCTTTTTAATTTCAAACAATATGGTGATTAATATCTTTGGAATTTTTATGTCCAAGTACAAATACACATGAACATGAATCCCTAAGAGAAGTAATACCTGCTATTAGAATGACAAATTCTAAACAAGAAGCCAGAATACCTACAAAGGAGGCCAGAAAAACTACAGGTTAAATRCTTATTGATTAAGGTGCCAATTATTATCACACAAAGTTAGAATTTAAGGTTTTGAAAATAAACAAATTAATGAATTATAAGACATAAAGTAGAAAAAGGTGAAGCTTTAAAGGCTGGGAGAATGAATCATRAGAGAGAAAAAGACAAAGGAGAAACAAATGAAAAGAAAATAGCATAAATAAAGCAAGATAAACCAAAAAAAGACATTTTTTTGGACCCATTACTTAAACTCAAGGCACAACTGATCAGCAGATTTGAGACATATACTATTAGATAGCTGAACTTGGAAGCAACATGATTTAAATGACTGTTTGAGGCTTAATTTATACAGGGTGCCTGCAAATTTATTTATTTCTACCAGGCTCTAAAGTGTTGAAAGGAGATCCCACTTCCCCCATAAAAGAAAGCAGAGAAATAATCTTCCAGATACAACATAGTTGGTCAATCTCTTTAATTTCTGATCAACTTGACAAAGATATAGTAATTGCCTCATACATACAAAACAAACCTCTCTTGGGAAGATGCTGACTAAAAAACATAGGTATTCAGGTTATATTTTTTAATTAAAATCCTGAAATTTCCTTGGCCCATCCAGGGCTTCTCTACTATCTCACCTAACATATATCACAGTCAATAACTTACCTCTCCCAAAGTGCTAGGATTTGAATGCCACAATACAAATTGATTCATGTTTTTGTCCATTAATGGTCCGTGGGTTTCTTTAAATGAAGTCCATGTTAGAGTCCATAGATATCAGTGCTCTGTAAAAACTGAAAACCTCAAGAATGTCAATGCACATACCTAAGTTACTACTTGGATGCCAATCCATCATGAATAATAGTTATACTACTAAACACTCAGATGTGGAAAGTTTAGCGGACATAACAYTGAACAGCAAACTGAGGTGGCAAAATTAGACTAAGACAATATTAACTTAACCTAGAGGATCTCAAAACACTGCTATGCATCACATTTATATGTATTGTAAACAAGGCACCACAGTAACAGCCTTCAAAGATGGGGATGATTTCCATACCAACCCTTTGAGAAATCAGAAAAAGATTTAAAGATAGAAAAACTTGTAAAATTTAATTATAGTAATTATGTAGTTACATGTCTACTTTGGGGGTTTTTAACCTATTTTAAGAACATCTTAGGTTTCAAATCTAAAAATGCTAATTCTTTTTTTGTAAAAAATAAAAAAGCAAACTACATACACATACAACACAAACAATCAACAATATGGCTTAAATTCTGGGTTTCTACACAATTCTCACCAATCTAATTATAGGATTCTGGAACTTCTCAAGAGCTACATTTCACTAGCTATTCCATACACACAAACACCTCACTGGGACTGCAGCTAGATAGTGATTCATGCTCAGATCTCATCATCTAGCCTGTGTGTCATCTGCATTTTATTCTATTTAACAACAACAAAAATCTGGTTACAGTACTTGATTTTCAGGTACATGCTTCCCTTCATGACACTGAAGGCACTTTTTTTTTTTTTAATATTTATTTATTTATTTAGTATTCGGCCGACACAACATCTTTGTTTGTATGTGGTGCTGAGGATCAAACCAGGGCCCACGCATGCCAGGCGAGTGCGCTACCACTTGAGCTACATCCCCAGCCCACTGAAGGCACTTTTTACAAGGAAAATAATCTTCAGGGATTCATTCTTCTGGGGCCTCCTACAACTGTTTCTTATGTGTATACACCTGGTGAAACCTTTGGATTTTTATAAGTTCTTATTTCCATTTTAGTTATAAAATCATTCTCATTTACATCTAATACCCCAACTTCAGAAAATATTAACAAAAAGGAAATCAGCTTATATTGATGAAAAGAAAGCACTTAAGATACCCATTAGCAGTTCAGTAATCCAACTGTAGTTTATCATTTTAAGACCTCCCTGGGACCAATTTCTGAAAAGTCCTTCCCAGAAAAGTAAAGAAACCCGAAGGAAGCTAAATAGTTGTCTTACTCTCTCCACTCGGAGAAAAGTATTAATGCACATGTGTAAATTTCCCTAATTCTAACAAAACAAAATAACAAGGTCCTGTATGTCTCTTACACCAGCATACTCACAAATTACCGGTTAGTAAGAAAACTGGAATCATGTCTACATTCAGAGGTAGGGATACTGAGGTATGGTAGAAGTTGTCCTGCTAAACCAGAATCGGGTTCTTTAATCCAGTAATTAATTTATTCCTCTGATAGCGTCTATAGACACCTACAACTGGCAAGGCACTGTCCTACGAATTCAGAGACGAAAAGAAGTCCTTGTCCCCTACTTCCATAACGGGTCAGGGTAGGTGATAAGTGAGCCCTACGTTAGCTCATCTCAGTGCCCAGACTCCATCTCTCCACCACGACCTGAGGTCAGGACCCACCGATTCCTAGAAGAGTAGAAGACCGTCAAAGACCTCGACCCCATGATCCTGTTCCAAAGAGTTTTCTGTATTCCTATCCATTCAGGGAGTCTCTTCAAGGAGCCTTCCTGCAATCACTACCTAAAGTGAGAACTCTCTGCCCAAGCCCAGGGTCAGGAGCGACCCAAGACATCGACCCCAGGTCCCACCTCCACCCGGGATCAGTTCCCGCCCGAAGGTTACCTGCAGGGGATCCAAAGCTCCCATACACCATAGACGCCCCGCCCCGCCCATTACGTCGCCTTCTGCAACCAGGTGTCTCCTCCGGGAGTAACTTCCGATACGTCACGTCCGGCAGAACTTCCGCCCCGGCCCGCTGTCCAGCTAGGCACTCAATTCCGCTAGTAAGCGTCACTTCCGACCTGTTCCTCGGTTCTTGCGGGATCCCGGCGCTTTCCAGATCTTACTTGTAGATTTCTGTTTTCCTGCTTGCCTAACCTCTGCCTGTGTGAGCCTACCCGGAGAAGTACTTTTTCATCTTTTCTTTTTTTCCGTCTTTTTTTCTTCTTTCTCCCCTGCCTCCCGCGACCCGCACTTGTTTGGCAGCCTATATGGCCTGCCCTCTGCAGCGACTTAGCCACTTTCCCCTGCGTGAATTCATCAGTCTTCCCCAGAGTAGCCAGACCTCTGCGAGAAATTCGAGGATTATTCTTGTGTGTGTGTTTTCTCATTTTCCTACCCGGGGAGCCGGGATCTTCGGTTGCACTGTCTGCAACCTGATTCACTTCTAACGGTGTTAGTTACCTGGGCAAGTTACTTAACACCTCTACGCTTCTGCGAAACGTAGAACCCATACCTGCAACCTAGGACTTGAGGTGATACATGAAAGCACTAATATATTAAAAGCACTCGTAGCTATGAGTGGTAACGTTCGTTCGGTTCTGTGCTATTGTATTACATAAGTGGCAGGAAGTTGAAAACCGGTTTTTAATTCCGTGATTAATTGATGTTGCCTAGTACTTTCCCATGGGAACTGTGAGCATCTCCATAGATAAATTCGTATATAGTAACCAACTTTAACCCTACTTGAAAGCACTGTGATAGGTACTGAGGGAGAGATGAATAAAACCCAGGCCCTGCTCTCGAGGAGTGGAGGCACTCAATAAATGGTTATAGAAGGAAGGAAAACCCAGAAAACACACACACACACACACACACACACACACACACACACGAGACCAGTTGAACTGAGAGTTTATCCTTAGGACAAAAATTTATGGGGGGGAGGAGGAAATTTAGAGGTTCTTTTAGTCAACCTCTCGCCTTTTCAGGTAAGGAGAATTGAATCCAGAAAAGCAACTAAAAGTCACACTATTAATGACAATGCTAGGATCAGAAGTAGAGCTTTATAATGCTCACCACCTCTCCCCCTTTCCAAAATGTGCCTCGAAGTGTTAGTATGGTAAAAGCAGATTAGCTTTTGAGGTCATTGCTCTTAAGTGCAAAGGACTAGAAACAACTCCAGTCTAGGAGAGAGATGGCCAGTGTAACCTAACAGATGCCTCACAATTCTGATGATCCTTAGAATGCTCTGGTGTGGGCACTACTGGGTTCATTTCTAAGACATCCCTCCCCTGGCAAACTTCTCATACTGACAAAGAAGCATTTGGTAATGTGTGATCTCTACCTGCAATTTTAACTGACTGCACAGGAATAAGTAACTGATCCCAGCAGCTCTAGAAGGTAAACATAAACTGCAAATGCCTTGCCAATTACATGGAAAATTTTCATTTAAACTTCTTTTAATTGGAAAAAAATTTAACTGTTCAACCTTTGCTTTAGGGGATATTACAAAACTCCATAGCTATTATTACTATTATCATTAAAATATTGGTAATGGGTCTGTGGTCCAAATGAACCAGTAATCCCATAGACCCATAGAATATATTTGGAACAGATAAAATTTGAAGTTTCTTCCAATTCTATCATTAAATGCATCAGTGATATTTTTAGTAAATTTATGAATGATACAAATTCAGTAATTTGCCCAAAGTCATAAAGTTAGCCAGTGTTAGTCAGTTCTAGAATCTCAGTCTCCTAATTCCATTTATGTATTTATTCAAATAAGACATTCAGCCAGGCATTATGGATACAAAAATGAATAAATTAATCCCTTGCCTTCGAGGATCTTCCTGTCTGATAAGGGAGACAGACCTCTTAATGGAAAAATAATTCAATTCCATGTTATAAGCTCACCTAGTTTCTTCATTCAACCAATGATGTTTCCCCATCTTTTGCTATCAACATAACTAATTTTAAATGAAAATATGATGTTTTAATCAAATTTTAAATCATTCACATCACACTTTTAAGAGTTTGAAGCAGGCACAATTTGCATAGGTCTAAAAGTTTATTTGAGTATAACAGACTTGGAGACTAAACTGTGTGACCTTGTGTTTCTTATTATCCAGTCTTTTTTTTTTGAGGGCGGGTACTGGGGATTGACTCAGGGACACTCGACCACTGAGCCACATCCCCAGCCCTATTTTGTATTTTATTTAGAGACAGAGTCTTACTGAGTTGCTTAGCACCTTGCTTTTGCTGAGGCTGGCTTTCAACCTGCAGTCCTCCTGCCTCAGCCTCTGAAGCCACTGGGATTACAGGTGTGCACCACCACAACTGGCTAATTATCCAGTCTTTAAATGAGGAAATTAGGACTTGAAAATGTCACAGTTCCTAAAGTCCATTCTTTCAATGGCATTCAAACTTCATCCATGGTACCACACCTTTTCCAGATAGCAAAGGAAGCAATAGCATATTAAGAACTGAGTTATTTTTCTCCTCATCTGCATATACTGAAGGTCTTAYTCTCTGTCTTCTGTGATAGTTGATTTTATGTGAACTTACCTAGGCCACAGTACCCAGATATTTAATCAAACATTATTCTAGATGTTTCTGTAAAGTTATTTTTTAGATGGGACTATCATTTCAGTCAGTAGACTTTAAATAAAGCAGATAATCCTCCATAATTTGAGTGGGCCTCATTCAATCAGTTAAAGGTCTTTAAAAAAAAAAAAGAGGTAGGTTCCCCGAGGAAATTGGAATTCTGCCTCCAAAAAGCCTTTGAACTCAAGTTGCAAGATCATCTCTTATGAATCCACTTTGTTTGCCTACTCTTCAGATTTTGGACTGCTAGACTCTACAATTTTGTGACCAAGTTCCTTAAAATAAATAAATATTAACTAGCCTATGATCTTAAGCAAGTCAGTTTACTTATCTTGGGCCTCAATATTCTTTTCAAGGAATTACTTGGACAAATCTTGTAGTGTTCTGTCCAGTAGAAAAAAAAATGCACGATACCACTCCTAATGGCAGGTGGTGAGGGATTCTCTCTTTTAAACTTTATTGTTTCTTTTCCTTCCTTTTTACTTTTCTTTCCTTATTCTTCTCCCCCCCCCCTCTGGTTGATCTGATGAAAGACAGCACTGTGGCACCTATCTGAACAGCCACCTATATTGACAAAAYTTGAGTTTCCCTAAGACTTTGGGAGATGATAATGTAATGGGGCTCACTTAAAATTAGAAATTTTCAAAGAMCCCCCTAATTTTTTTCCTCAGTCCCTACCATTTCCTGCTAACCTGTTAGTTAAGCTATTTTCTCTATCCTAGCTTCCTATGGGTGATCATTTCAGGCTGAGAATGAGAGCTGAAAGTGCCCCCCAAAACCCCAGCCTGGTGCCAGAAGTATGCAACAAAAGTCAAAGAACCAGAATTATATTTCTTGATCACACAGCCTGGCTAAATCTACCTATGTGTATTTCCTGGGTGTTTGATCTTGTGAATTGTAGTACTGTAGTATGGGCAAAGGCAGATTAGCTGCCTTCCCAGTTTGGGTCAAATGGTCATGAAATTTGTTTTTCATTTTTATATCACCTTTCACTTATTTCTGATGTGGGTTGGTGACTTAAGTACAGTTAGTCAGGACCCCAGATTCAGGCCTCTGGCCTGGGCCCCAGTCACAGTAAGTCTAAAATGTTTGCTTAGTGAATCAAAGAATGAATGGATTCCACGATTACTTCCGGGCTCTTCCATTCCTTACTATTACTGCCCCTGACCCTTTTCCTATTGAAACACTTCATTAAAAAAAACTGTGGTAGTGGGGAAAGGAAGAAATGATGAGACAATAAATAAGAGTTAGATTGGGAGGTGAATGGAGAAAAATAGTGGCATTTCATTCCATTTCAAAGAAAATATTGATGCACTATAGTATTTATGAAAAGAATTATATATTGTCTAGGGATTATTTTAAAATAATGTGGGAGGGTAACAAATGATAAATATTTGTTATTTATTATATCATTGTTTAATTATAATCTATTTATTGMATATGCTTGAAAGTTTCCGGAATACAGAGTTAAAATTAGAAAGATTGTGAGTGCATTTTCTTTCCTCTAGATAAAACTGGGTTCAAAGTATCTCATGGAATCTCAGAATTCTTTTGCCTGATGTACAGAAAACTTGTCACAGATTGGATTTTCCAGCAGATCATGATATGGAAATGGGGAGGAAGTAGAATTATTCAGAGGAAGAAGTTAAACTGTTATTCAGGTCCAAAGAATCTGCAGGCATCTTGGGAGGGAGYCCTAGTGTAAGTATTGCCCATGGGAGTGTAACCTCCTTGTCAGGCAAAAAGGGCCAGCCTATTATTCTGCTTCCTTGAAAGAGAATCTTCGAAGTACATCTTTGTATCTTCCACAAAATGCATCACAAATTGTCCTAAACAATAAGTGATGTATTGACCTCTATCACTGGAATGTTATGATAGGAATCAGGGTTGGTTGCTCCAACAACTCAGTGRTATCATCCATGATCCATATTTTTTCCCTCTTTGCTCTGCCTTCAGAATCATCTGCTTCCACTTATGAAGACCAGCTTTCCTCAAGGTGGTGAAATGACTGTGGCTGCTTGCTTTAACATCTACACACTGTGTCCACCCTCAGAAACAATGAACACAGTAATTCCAAGGAGACTCTCAGACTAGAAAAGAGAAAAATGCACATTAATATCTGAGCCAGATCTGCTACTCTGTACAATTTTAACTTTTCAACTGTAGTTAATGGGTTTACATTAGTCACCATTAAATTTCATACTGTCATAAACTCATGACAGAATCCTGTATCCCTTGAGATAGGCAGACTAGTATTGCAATAACTCATTTCAGTTTCTTTAAGCAACACAGGTGTGTTTCTTACTCATGCTACAGAAYTACTTGGGACTGCAGAGTAATTGCTCAATTGTGGTCACTCAAGAACCTGGGCTGAC